TATATGTATGGTTATAATACATCTAACACATAAATAAATTGATTTATTGTTTATAATTATATTTTATAAAATATGTAGGATGTTCAGCAGACCAATAGACTTGGGTAAAGCTATTACCACTCCTTCCGGATCTAAGGAGAAGACACCGAGTTGTGGGGACTTCTCCAAATCCAATTTTTGATCTCTTGTCTCTTTCCCCACATTTGTATATGTAGTCATTCCAAGTTCTATGGGATTCTACATTATTTGGGATGGCTTCTAGTAATATCCCCCTATACATTTTCCACACTGATGCCCTGGAGATTGGGATGGGCAATCAATGTCTAAATATAGCTGTTTTACAATTTTGGACATTGTAAGTTCATATCTTTCATGACTCTTTTCATTTTATTAAATATATAAGGTATAAGTTCACTTACATTGGCATATTTTAGGATGATGCATGAAATGATAGTGGAGCAGGGCATTGGTCATGTGTATGGATTATTCGAGCCTCAATCCATACAAAAGTCTGGGAATAAGCGTGATCAAATTCTCAGTTACATGCAGAATTGGATGACTGATTCTAAGAGAGATATTTACCTTGGAGCATACCATCATTCGTAAGTTATCCCAGCCTCTTCTGGTTTTACACATGTTTTTTTAATAGATTCTAATCATGTGTATATACAGAAACCACTGGCAGCTATTAGTTATTTGTCCAAAGCAGAATCTTGTGTATTGGTTCTGCTCATTGGGAAGAAAACCTGACATGGAGCTAAAAAATATTGTAAACGAGTAAGTATTTCTTATATTATGTCTAAACATCTTGATTATTCTATTTCTAAGCCCCTTCTTTTCAATATATAGTGCTTTAAAGGTTTGCAGTACATTAGATGGAAAACACACAAGTAAAAGTACAGCTCCAAATTGGAATTTTATCAAAGTAAGTAGCCTTTATATATATTATACTATCTATTTTATGTTCAAATTTAATAATTAATTTTAACATATTTAGTCATTTTTAGTGTAACAAACAAAATGGAGGATACAAGTGCAGACTACTATGTAATGTATTGGATGTGGCTCATCATTTTTGGTAGCATTCAGGATAGTTGGAATGAGGTAAGTTGACATTTGCTATTATATTCAATTCCTTTATTTTAATTGCTTAGGGTTTACCATTCTATTTGTAAACTTCTTACAGGCATTTAAAGATATAGAACCTTTGCCTATGGAAACTATAGACATGGTTAGAAACAAATGGGCAGAAAATTTTGTCCAAGTAGTTAGGAATAGGATTGATTGACAATTTTTTGTGTATTTTGTACATAATTTGGCTGATTTTGACATATATATCTATCATTTTATATATATTAATATATAGTGATTAGCTGAAATATATATACTGGCAATGACTGAGATTATAGCAGGTCGTATACTGTTGGTGGCACTAAAAATATAGCATTATTTAAAAAAAAGGGATATTCTACGTCGGTTAATGCAATAACCGACGTTGTAACGAATATACAACGTCGGTTATTGCATTAACCGACGTAGTATATACCTCTCAACGTTGATCATAGAACTACCCGACGTTGTATATATAACATTTAACGTCGGTTAGTTCAATAATCGACATAGAATTTACTCATTTCTACGACGGACATTGGTTTAACCGACGTAGATATCTAGCACTTTCAACATCGAGTTTTTTGAACCGACGTAGAATCCTTTGACATTCAACGACGCCTGATTCAACGACGTCATTGGAACCGACGTTGAATTCCTTCTACACCCGACGTTGAAAGATCATTCTGTAGTTTGAAAATGCATAAATACAGTACTTGACTTGAAAAATTTATTGTTCTCGACTTAGGGTTTTAGATTCACGCAATCTACATTTCATTATACTTCTTTTCACATTATTAATATATATATATATATATATATATATATATATATATATACTTCTTTTCACATTATTCTATCGGAAAATTTTTATGTAGTTATTTTATTTCTTCAAGTTTTCTGAAGTTAATTTCATATGGTAACTCTAAAGCCTTTTGCTAATTTGGCTATAATTAACATAGTAATATCTTATACTCTCAATTGCTTAATCATCACATAAACACATATCAGATGAAGTATATATGAAAAGAATTATTTATTGAAAGCAATGAGGGGGAGATAGATGAAAATGTCTCTACATTCTCAAGAGATGATTTTGATGATGATTCAAGTCAACTACATTCAAGTCAACACCATTCAAGATGAATTAAGGACAAACTGAATTTATGACGTTGGTGACAATGTGAAACATTTCCCTACATGCCCAAGATATGTTTTTGATAAAGATGATGATTCAAGCAAGCCCAAGATGATTCCTGAAAACTAGATAGAGTCTTAGAATACTAGATATGAAGGTACAAGTTGATGAAGTAATATTATGCATAAACCTCCAAAGCACAAGTGTGATAAAATTCATAACATGATATTTTTCACTGTCATAATCAATTATGATGCATCAGAAATAGAAAATTGATTTTCTCTGTCATAATTGATTATATTGGTAACATAATCAATTATGACAATTCAAATTTGAAAAATATATCTGTTTTGAAGAATAAATATTTTTGAATATATCCAGATTTTTATTGACAAAAATATTAATGTCCAACGGCAATTTTCTGATGCTATTTTTCTATTTAATTAAGTTTTGATGAAAAATCAAAGACACACAATTACAGAATTCGAAAATACAATTTACATTCAATCAGTTTTGAGAAAATAATTCTGAGCAAGTCAACAGAGATATTTTACACCTTCTAAGAAAATCATCTTCTCTATTGTCTTACGTGTTGGAAAAACAATAATAATAATAATAATAATAATAATAATAATAATAATCCTGATTTTGATTCTAACGATCAAACATAAACATAATCCCATACCTGATAAACATGCTGTAAACTCGAATGCGAAAGCGTACACTGAATTAACCATAATGATGATGTCTTTGTAGAGCACTCGTATTGATCTTATGGTCTTCCACCTGAAGAACACCTGTATTTCCCTCTTGATTTTCTCTCTTGATGGGGATAGAAAGAAAGGAACAGGAATGAAACTTACGTTCTGTCTACGTGCTCCCAGAAGGGGACCATGACCCTTTAGATAACCAGAATTAGGTTAATTACTTAAGTTTTAGTATTTCCAATTTGGCCCCTCATCAAATTAGAAATTGCTCTATGGTCTCTACACAATTTTATTTTCATGACATATGCCTTTAGCCAAAACTTTAATTTAGTCAGATCACTTTATTATTTGGCTTAATAAATAATGGCCCTAACACATTTAAATTATGTATCATATATATACATGACCCAAATTTTTCCAACATTCTGTGCTTTCATTGTTAATCACACTTGTTCTTGGAGATTGACATTCTATAGGCTTCTATAATTTGTTGTCTCCATTACCTAGGTGTGATTGTTCTTATTTTTATTACTTTCATCCTTTGTGTATTGGTGGCAAATGAGGTATTTTTCATCCCTAGTGTGATTCTAGGGAGGTGTTCATCCTTAGTGAGATTCTAAGGAGGAGTTTTCATTCTTTGATTTGTTCAAAAGAAGGTTTTCATCCCTAGTGTGATTCTAGGGAGGTGTTCATCCTTAGTGGGATTCTAAGGAGGTGTTTTTCATTATTTGATTTGTTCAGAAGTGGTGTTCATCTCTAATGGGATTATAGGGAGGTGCTCATCCTTAGTGGGTTTTTAAGGAGGTGATTGTCTTTTTAATTAGTTTACTTTTTATTGGTTCTTCTGCTGAGTTGATTGTAATTTGTAAGTTGAATTTGAAAGATAGTGAATTGGGAGTCATTCTTGTGTTAAGAGTTGACTGGGAACTGGATGTAGGGTTGGCTATACCCGAACCAGTATAAATCTTTGTGTGCTCTTCTTTTTCCCTTATCTCTTTCTCTTTTCCTGATTATATTATCGCTTCCACTTTATCTGTGTTCAAACAAATTATTGACTCACAAATAATTTTTTAATTTGACATTTATTTTAATTTGTGCATCTATTCACTCCCTCTAGATGTCATTTGTCTAATATTTATGAATCTTTTTAAGTTTCAAGTGGTTAACAAACACACGTGTAGCTTTAAGTTTCAAGTGGTCAATATGCAAGTTGTTGTAGTATTTTTTTTTGTGTGTGTTTTTTCTGTTATTGAAATTAATAAACAACCACTACTAGAAAAATGGTTAATAGTGACTGAAATTAGTGACTGAAAAATTCAGTCACTGATAGTAACTGAATTAGTGACCGATTTCCCTTTTTATATTTAGTGACTGATTTAGTGACTAATATTTCAGTCACAGAAATCGGTCACTGATTCGGTCACCAAATCGGTCACTGATTCGGTCATCAAATCGGTCACTAATTCGGTTACTAATAAAAAACAACATTGGAAGCCATGGTTACGTGCGGAGAAAAGTTTCTCTGATTCTCGAATACAATAAAATATAGGAAAGTATGAAATTTGTGTACATTAACTTAGCCCTAGCTCCATTTCCAACCGGCGCCTCCATTACTTTTCCTTATCATTACTCCCTTTCGCAGAAGCCACCCCCATCGCACCCATCACCTCACTCTTCATCCACCCTTACCTCAACACCCATAACCCATAGATCCCCGCGCCTCACCTCATGTATCCCCATTGTAGCCCACACCCAGCACCACCATAGCCCTCACCGGTGCCAGCTAGCACTCAAATCTTCCTCCCTTTATTTTTTATGCTTCACCTGTAGTCACTGTGAACCGCTGCTCGGGGCCACTATGGTCGCACCACCACCGAGCCACCGTGCCTGACCCCTCACCGCCACCAACCCTACACTATCGAACCGGTCGCGACATGGCTAGCGCCTTGAGTTTCTGCGGTTTCGCCACCTCTCCCTAGCCACCACCGTGACACCCCAACCAAACCCGCTTCTCCCCTCACCGGAGTCGCAACCCCCAAATCACCCTACCGCGCCTTCGCCTTTTCCACCCTTCCTTCCTCTCCATTGCAAACTCCACTCTCACGGTCTCCACCCTTAACCCTAGCACAGCGCGGTGCAACCCCATCGCGACCCATACCCGTTAGCACCACCGTGAGCCACCGCAAGCCAGATTCACGCCCAGTTGCGCTAAACACTCACCGGTCACCCTCAACGAAGTAGCGCACCACCGCGGAGCCCTGGCCACGACTCGCCCCACGCCGACCACCGTGAATCATCCCGAGTCTCGCTTTGTCGCACCACTATTGACTCGAAAAGGGGATGGCCGAATGCCTCTCCCTGTGAATGAGGAGTTGACGGGGATCTCGAGTGGAAATCGAAACCGGAGACATTATTGGGTACAAAGTTCATTTTCTTTGCATTCTGTTGTTTGTGGTTTTACTTTTGTTTGATTGCTAGCATCTATGGGGAAACTCGTTGTTGAGTTTATCGTTCTCGACTATTGATTGCTTTTGTCCGGGATTTGGATTGAGTTGGGGGTTATTTTTTTTCTTATGGGCTGTTTTGGACTGTTATTAAGGACTGTGGCCCTATTCAGACTATGTTGTTGTGATGCCAAATTCTCATAAGTTGCGGCAAGATGCACTTATTCATACTTGAGTTTGTTTGTTCATTCTTTATTTTGTTATTTTGTCTTGTAAATGTTTTGGTTTCTAAATGTAGTGTAATCATGGGAGAAATTACAAGCTTTGCACTTATAGTTTCACTTTGGTTCAATGAAATGGCGATTAATAGGAGAATGTTTTTTATGAGTGTTGTAATATAGTGTTTTGTTTTTTTAGAGATTGTTTGTTTATGTTCTAATTTCTTTCTGTCACTCTGTTTTTTTGAATCTGAATTTTGTTTTACATGGGTAAGAATTGCTAGCTGGAGCATTTTTAGCTGAACTTAGGACACTATTTGCTTTAAAATGTCCATAGCTGGGAAGACAAAAAAGAGAACATAACACTAGGTCAGATGCATACCGAATAAAGCTACCTATACAACCACACCACTCAGAAATGCTGAAAGAGTGAAAGGTTAGTCCAAGTTAATTGCCTTCCATTGCCTGCCTTCTTAGCCGCTCTCTCTCTAAGCGAGAACATAACACTAGGTCAGATGCATACCGAATCCTGCAATAGTTTTTCTTATCCCCAATCCATGGCTAATATCAGTAACACTGGTCCTCGGCATGCCAGTTACAATCTTACAATCAATTGGACAAAAACACAAGGGAAAAAACAGAGAAGGGCAGAAGAATGATGATGCCTATGAAATATTACTCCCGAGCGCCATAGTAATACACTCCCTAAACCCTAAACCCTAAACCCTAAACCATATGAAATAACACTTGATGGATATGGGTAAATCACTTAAATTTTAATAATGTTATATTTTGTTCACAATCTATGTACAACTTGTACTTTATCACTTTATTTTTGTTGTAGATTTTTGCCTTCATACTTTGCAGCTACTGCCATTGGTGATATTTTCAAAAGCCATTACACTGATGCATGGCCATCATGGAAAAAGGTACCTCAAGATATTCGAGACATGTGGTTTAGTGAGTTCATGGTATGTATTTATATTAGTTCTTAACTTTAAAATAAGTTCCAAATAATGAATGTCCTATAACATTTACTTGTTTTGTTTGGGTACAGAGAAAATATACTATTTTCCCACCTGATCATAGGTTGGCTAGAAGGAACTTTGAAATGCGAGGTGCCAGCATATTAAAAAGTTCACTAAACAAGGCACGCATGATAATGAAGAAGCCAAATTGGCTTGCAGAAGATGTATGGGATATCTTATGCCAACATTGGGGATCAAAACAATTCAAAGTAAAAAGTTTGATTGCAAAAGCAAATCGAGCTTCTGATTGTGATGGACTTGGAATTTCACTCCATACTGGTGGCTCTATTAGCACTTCTCAACATAGAGAACATTTGGTAAAGTTTGCTTTATACTCCTTTATGCATGTATTAGTCCTATATGTTGTACTTTTGAACCTATAATGTATATGTGAATTATGGAACCCCGGACTACATTTAGGTGTGGAAAGAATGTACATTAGTTAGTTCAAATTTGATTGCATGGTGTTGTTTATGATGGAAGAGAAAAATAGTTATTACATTACCTATTGTCATGACTTGACAAACTTCTTTTCTTTTATGGTGGATATTGCACTTCTAAGTTTGTGTTTGTAACCATATTTTAGATAAAGTTGAATGGAAAACCCCCTACCCCATCAGAGTTGTTTCGCAAAACACATAAACGAAAGGATAACACATGGGTGGATCAAAGATCAGCACATGTAGATGTAAGTTTCTTATTTTTCTTCTTATGTTAATTTCTTAAATAATTGTATCCTTTTTTATGTTTTTATCCAATTCACTACTATTCTATTTTAATGTTTATAGGCAGAGTTTGGTCGTGCATGGGAAGAAGCCTCCCAATCAGGATCTATTGCAGGAGGCTCTCCGCCTGATGAATTACAGGTTTGGTGTAAAGTTGCTGGAATAAACAAAGGCAAAGTATATGGGCTTGGATCTGAGTCAAGCAAAGCAATTGGGAGAAATCTTTGCCACGACTCTACTTCATCATCTGTCCAACTTATGAGAGAGGAGATTGAACAATTAAAACACAAGTTAGAGGAAGTTGAGACTGAAAGGGATGATCTCCGTGAAAGAATGTTAACTAATGAGAAACAAATTCAGAAAAATGATAAAATGTTGCTCCTCTTGATGGAGAAGATGGATGTTCAACCTCCTGAATTGTGAACTGATTCTATTTTGTATTTTTTTTGTTAGTTTCTGACATATTCAGAATTATGACTCTTATTGTAGTTTATTCTACTTATTTTTAGATTGAATCCTGCATATGTAAGAAAGTATTTAATTAATGAATGACGAATTTATTTAGAACAAAATTTGTGGTATTATTTTGATAGTTATCTTAGGTAGTGAAATTTTCATATATTTAATACCATATATATATATATATATATATATATATATATATATATATATATATAATGTATTTTATATTCCTTAATCGGGTTTATCGTTATTTTATAAATAATATAAAAAAATTAAAATAAAATCGATAATCGATATAGTGACCGATTTGGTCATATATATTCGATCACTAAATCGGTCACTAAATTGGTCACTGAATCGGTCACTAAATCGGTCACTGAATCGGTCACTGATTCGGTCACTGAATCGGTCACTAAATCGGTCACTGAATCGGTCACTAAATCAGTCACTGATTCGGTTACTGAATCGGTCACTAAATCGGTCACTGATTCGGTCACTGAATCGGTCACTGAATCGGTCACTGATTCGGTCACTAAATCGGTCACTTGAATCGGTCATCTGATTCGGTCATCTGATTCGATTCATTAAATCGAGTCACTAAATAGTCACCAAGGAAATAGTGACCGATTCTAGTTGGTCACTATTTCGGTTACTATTTTAGTTAGTGACCGATTTTGGTCATTTAGTAACCAAATTTTCGGTCACTATATAGTGAACTTTCAATTAATTCATATTTACATTGAAATGCAGTTTCATATATGAAATTTCTTTTGAGGATTAAAAAAATTATTTCTGCAATAAATGGGAAATTTTTCAATAATAAAATATTTACATGCAAAGGAATAAATTGTATTACGAAACTCATCCAGCTATAGGATGAAAGGGTCGATGTTAATATGTTTAAAGGATACCGACAGGATCCCCATAAACTAATATTTTTGAGTGATTAAGTTTTACGTGGATATCTTCATTTTGAAGAAGAATATATTCATCTCATGATGACTACGCAACATTTTGCATTCTCATCATGTATTAAAACCCAGGTATTAGTGACGGAGTTTTTAAGTGAACGGGTTATGGTACTTCAAAATTGTATACTTTATAAGAGTATTTCTCACTAAATTTAATAATTATTAAATATATTTATTTTTATATTTATAAATTTCATCTCTTATCTTTTTATATTTTTATTTTTTATATTTATTTATTATTTATTAATAATATATTATTTAAGCAGTTTCGTATTAACAATGAAAATTCATCGGTTTCACGCATGGATAATCATTCTGTTTATTTAAATACTGACTTTAATATGGATCTACTTTCTGAAACTGAATTTAAGAAATGTCAAATCTTTAAAATCCTGCGAACGAACTAAAAATTTGGTTGAAAATTTAGGAGGACGAGTTTACATTTGGTTGAATTACTATTTAGTTCTTCTAAAATAAAGGACGTAAAAGTGGAGAAAGATATATTTATGCTTGCTTTGCTTTTATTTTAAATGGATTGTTGTGTATATTAAGTATTTTTAATCTTAATGAAGGATTATTATTACAACTGTCCTTTTTTCTCTTCATACCTTCTTTGATATTATAAGAATTAAATTCAGAATTATCATTGAGGACCCTTGTTAATAAACAGGTGTAAGTACCCTGTTTGATCATTCTGAAATAGAATAATTGGCATCAAAATAGTAGTAATCAACACTTAAATCAAGAAGAAAGATAATTTAGATCAAACCAAATGCAGAAGGAGAAGGAATTCCATCTTCTTGAGACCTTCGTATATAATAAATTGTACGTAAACAAACACATGGAAAATTTATATTTGTATCGATCCTCTATACAATTAAATAGCATTTGCTTTGCCTTTATTCTCTTCTCATTCAATCACTATTTTCCATTCCGGTAATGGCTACGAGAATTTGGAATAGCGTGTACTTTAATTAAGAAGGTCTAAAAGTCACAGCTTTTGAAATAAACAAATAAAAGCCAAAATAAAATTGTGTATGTGCATCTCTCTTTTCAATCAGCCAAATCTAGCCATTCACAGAGGCCATTGCTTGCTTGCATAATCCAAAGAGAAGAAGTTCCCTTGGATTATGTCACTTTATCTTGCTAAAACTCCATGTTTTGGATCTGGATGTGCATGATTCTAAGTTTTTTAGTTCAAAAACAACCCAACCCCTTTGCTTCTGATCCCTTCATAATTCTCAGCCTCTTGCAGGATGACACGAACATGCTGCAATAATAGCAAAACCCAACCGTATTAGATGGATGTAAACAAATAACAAACAGTTACTACTTCGAAGAACAGATTTAGGACAAGAAACTTACTGCCATGGAACGTCTCCAACCAGCATCCAGTCACCATCTTTATCTTCATAAGTTGGAGCATATTCAGATCCATTGTACCCTTCCCTTTCTGAATATTCACCTGGATCAGAGGCAATAGTTATAATTTAATCCTTTTTTCTAACTGTACATAAGTCAAGTAAATCTTGGCTAGCCATAAAAAGAAGATAATTTTAATCTTGTGAGGATTCTTACCAAATGTGCACTTGAACATATTTTCCAAGGCCTTGAGAAGTTCAGGGTAGCTTTTGTAAACCTTGAGATCTATCTTCCTCAAGTAAGGTGCACCCGCCATACTAACTTTCACGAACATCCCAGCTCCTTCACTTTGTTCTTCTTTGTTTTGTTGAAGACTATTCTTCCTATAAGATCGAATCGGTGGCCATCCCACTACTTGTGCCCTACATGCCAATATATCCATTATTCATTGATCTAAACATTCATATCCAACTCATGCATATTTCCTTATGAGCAATATAAAACAAAAGGATATATATCATAAAGTATATCACTTACTTCGCTGGTGGCACAACGTTGTCTTGGTGATCACTTGTGACATCAGAACCATTGCTTATGCACTCTTCCTCACTTGCTTCTGGTGAAGATCTCTTGTTGCTTCTAACAATAGAACGTTTTTCAGGTTCATCGCTACCGGGAAGCCCCAATCTTAACTCTGTGGCCTCCAGATTAAGCTCTTTTTCATAGCTTCCCGATGAATTCTCCATTTCTTGATGCATAAGGTAGCTGCTTACAATATATGATCACTAGAACAAATCCAAGTAAATCCAAACTCTGTTGAATCTGGTTTCTTAAGAAATATAGAGAGTGAGAAATGAAAGATGAGAAATGAGAAATGAGATGCAAGTTGTGGTGGAGGGCTAGTGGGTAGGTCATTAATTTTATAGCAAACATTAGTGTGGGACAATATCTAGGTGAGTTATTCTCATGGTGCATGAATTTTACACACAACGATGAAGAGCGAACCGACCCTCGGCTGTGACACGCGCTTCTCACCGACCAATGGGACTCCGCCAGAGTGAGAATGTGGTCTGCGAAGTGGGGTCCAGAGCACACGGTTGAAGAAGCGCGTGAGGTGGGGTTGGAAAGGAGTAAGACGATTGGCGGTGACATGAGGAACATGAAAGAACAGGTGTGTGAGGGTGAGAGGGGGACAAGGGGGGAACAGGCAGGGCCAGTGGTACTCTACAGCGGGGACCACGGTGGGGCTGGTTTGATTGGGACAATGGGATGTGAGGAGCGAATCGTGGAGCGTTGGATCGAGAGGCGTTGGTACATGTGAAAATGATAGGGGTCCCACGTGGCTGTCCTTCATTGGATGGTCATAACCATGTGACTGGATCCTATTATTATAGTAGTAATAATTATTATTATGGTGGAGAAAAGAAAACCCCGTTGGAATTTTGCTGACGGGATTGAGTTCAAATCCCGTGGGCAGTGGGTGCAGTGCATCTCATCCACTCACCCACCTCTTCAATTTCTACTTTCCTCCCTCCTTAGCTTCTAAGAAACAACCTAATCATACACTTTACCATTTCATATTCTTTTTCCCCTCACTCGAAGACTTGTCAGAGATGTGGTACGTGTTCTGATTTAGTTTTCTTAAAAAAAAAAATGTTTAATTCTGTTCCTTCTTAATTGAGATTCTGCTAAAAAAATTACAACTTTTTTATGCTTTAATTAAATAAGATTATTGAACTTCAATTTTTTTTTTATGTTATTATAAAACTTTCGCATATCAACTTATCTGAAAGATGACATTTACTTCACATAAACTTATTTTATTTATTAAAATAGACTCGACTAACGATTAAAAAACAGCTTAAACTACCACAAATTATTATATATCTCGATAAGGAGGCATAGTTCAATATCTTTATTTTTAAACATAAAACGTAATATTGAATAAATCTAAAAATATGTTTTCAATCATAAAAAGAATGGAGTATCAATTATCATATTAAAATAAAAAATATTAATGGACATATACATCTTAAATAATATAAATATACACTCCCTCCAATTTTTTTAGTGTCGTATTTTAGAAAAAAAATTATTTCTATATATTTATCATAATTTTTTATTTATTTGTTATTTATAGATTTTAAAATTATATTAATTATTTTTTTCATCAATTATACTTTAATGTGTCTTCTAATCTATACAAAACTTATACATATATTTATTTGTTATGTTAAATAAAAAGGTAACAAAATACTGGTAATAAATCGGTCTAGTATAACTTCATAATTCTAATTCTAATTCTATTAACACTACTAAAGGATATTTTGCATGCATAGAAAAATATTGAAATGGTTTTTAAGATAATATGAGATAGGGATATTTTATAATATTGCTAGAAATCCTATCATTAAAATACTTTCTAAATCAATATAACAACAAGTATTGAAAGTAATTTAAACACTTTCTAAATCTATACGCGATAACAATCGGTGTTGAAAGTAATTTTAATTCAATTGATGTAGAATGTGAATGTTCTACAACCTTTTGATATTTTTTTTACAAAACTACAAATTGGGTGCACTAGATTTATTATATACAATCGATTCAGAAATCTTGACACCCTTTGTTATTTTTTAAAACTTCTCGCAAGACATTTTAGATCAATTGGTATAAGAATTTGATCTAGATATTTTTTTAGTACAATCGATTTATTTTAAACTTTTTTAAAAAAAAAAAAACATTTTATCCTCAAAGTTAATGTTATTAAAAATATTCTAATATAATATGGTCAACGAATTTTCTCAGACGTTATTAAAAAGTTGAATAGGAAATGGAAAGGGAGAACAAAGTTGTGTTTTTTTTTCTCTAATCATAAGAAAAATATTACTGGATAGTCTAAATTTTAAAAATATAAAACTGCTATAATATATATATTATTTGTTATAATTTTAAATTGATTAAATAATATATAAAAACTATATTATTAAATATGTGAATCAAATGTTTTCGTTAGAGTGATTTTAGATTTATATCATTAATGTAGAACATTTTAGAATTCAGCTTCTTTTTATCATATTATAATAATAATAATTATAAAAATTATATTTTCTTTAGACGTTATTTATGGAATAATTTTGTTTAAATAAAATTATCTTCATTAGGAAAAATACTTTCAACTTTTAAAAGATATAGTAATATAAAAACATTGTAATATTGAGATTACAATGTTTAATGTGTAAAAGAGTAGAATAGGAGGGACATAATCTAGATTTAAAATCCGTGTTGTAGGAGACAGATACATTTTGGATGGGACGGTGGATAATGTGATTGGGTGGTATGAATGAAAAAATGAAGAAGGAAAACATGGAGAGCGTTAGCAAAGCGAAGGACGTACGTTTGCATCTCTGAGGCGTCATAATCGAACAGCCAGAAACCAACGACCGCCGCCGACCCTACACTGGAAAATGGAAATTGGCAGTCTTTGGAAGGAAGCACACACAGCAGCTAAGCCTTCACCCTCGCCTCCATTATTGCCGACAACCAATGTTACCCTCACACCTCTCTTACAACCATCCATCACCTCTCTCCCCACACCATCACCGCCACCCCTTCTCTTCCCAACCATCACTGTTCCACTCTTTCCTTTCTCATTATGCTTCACTTTTTTTCTTTCTTTTCCATCCTAAAAAGTTTCCACATAATATTTTTAGGATAAAAATAAATAATTTTTTACACGTTGAAGTTATCTTATATAAATTTTAACGAAAGTTTACGTAAGATATTTTTTTAATAAATTATTATATTATATATAAGCTAATATTAATTTATCTTAATTTTCATAAATTCTTTTAGAAGGATATTTATGAAAAAAATTATTCAAATAAGACTAATGTTGAGTAATTTAAAATAAAAATTAATGAATGGTTAATGAGTAATAAGTTATTAACCCATCGTTTTGTCAAAGATAGAATTAGTAAGTTTAAAAAATTGATTTTATCCATGAATACATTTTTTTGTAATTAAAATCTATCCATAAGTATATATATTATTGATGGATAAAAATCAATTGATAATTATGTCATAGGTAAAATTTATTAATGAATTTATCTCATCCGTCAATCATTTATCAATAATTAGTAATGGATATATTTATTAATAATATTCATTTTATCATGACATTTAGCGATAGATTTATTCACGAATAACATCCATACATAAATTTATCCTTATTTCCAAAAGTCATTCATAACTCCAATTCAACAATATAGTTTAAATCTAATTAAAATTAACCATAATTCACTATTAGCATAAGTTAAAAGTATAATTCTAACAATTAATATATTTTAGTAAATATAATATTGAAGTTAAAATATCATTAATACATTATATATTATATATTTTGTATGGGTTGAAACAATTCTCACAAATATAGTTTGAAATATTTACAAAATTTATGATAATATTTGGATATTAAAGTAATTCAAATCACTTTTTATTTTTATTTTTTTTAAAGTAAAATAATTAAAAATTATTATATTTGTACATGATACTGATTGTTACAGGAAATAATCAAGAGGAAAGAAAAATGTTATAAGAGTATTTATAAAAAAAATTGAAATGAAATATCTTGGTCCCTTCAAATATTTTCTTGGAATTGAAATATTTAAATCCAAGAAACGATTTTTTTTTGTCTCAAATAAAATATGTCTTGGACTTATTCCAAGAAACCGATATATCAGTTTGTTAGTTGACAAATACACTAATGGAAGAATGTTTGAAATTATCTATTACATTAGATCAAGTCCTAATTGATAATTAAGGTATCAAAGATTTGTAAAAAAATTGATAACACACACAAGACCAGATATAACTTATGCATTAAATATTGTTAGTCAATTTATGCATAATTCTAGAAACCAACGTATTAATGCAATTATACACATTTTAACATATATAAAGTCAGCGTCTGGAAACCAACATATGAATGTATCGTTGGAAGATAAACAATCAACATCATGCTACCTTACATCGAATGGTGGTAATCTTGTTAGAGAAGCAAAAAAAAAATGTGGTATCTCGATTAAGCGTAAAAGCTGAATTTAGAGGTTTAACACTTGAAATTCTTAAATATTTATGACTAAGATTTGTTTTACAAGATCTTGATTACTCATTCACACAACCTATTAAATTATTTTATGGCATTAAAGCTGCTTGCAATATTGCTTATAATCTAGTATAATATGTTTGAACAAAGTATGCTGAGGAGGGCGAATTCTTTATCAAGGAAAATTTAGAAAGAAAATGTGTAGAATTTCCAACAATTCGCTCAGAAGATCAATTAGTTGATATCTTAACAAAGGTCGCCTTAAATAAATTATTCTCAAGATGTCTTACCAAGTTGGGAATATGAGATTTACATGCACTAACTTTGAGGGTGAGTGTTGAGATTTATTTTCTTATTATTCTCTTTGAACAATATAATTGTACAAATTGTATATTATTTTATTAGGATTTGGTATAATTGTAACATATTTTAGTTTCTTATTAACATAATTAGGTACACATATTTTATATTTTATAAATAGGTTGTATAAATTTTATTTCGTATCAAATAATGAAATTATTTCAATTTATATTTTCAGGTGTGTTTTAAACATAAGTATCATTTTAATTATTTTTAGTTTAACTTTTTTTTTTTAATTATTTAAACTTGGTTTGGAATATTTTAAAATATAATACAATGTGAAAAAACTTAAGTAAAAAATATAATTAAAATAATTTATAGGAGTTCAAAATTAATTACAAAATTAATATTATAATTACCCAAAAATACATATAAAAATATTGTTCATGTAATATCTAAATACCGGTGATTTAAAAGAGATGTAGAATTTAAATACTCTTATATGTTTAGTGTGTCCTATATTAATCCCAAACTATACAAAACAGTCGGCAAATCTCAAAATTAACTTAAATGTTTGAATAATTTAAATTTGGTTATAAATGGGTTTGAAGATAAAGTTTACTTTGTGTTTAATGTTGACGTTCAAAATATTATTTTATATAGATTACTCTTTTATAGAAGGATAATTCCAAACATTAATGTGTTTTTTCTCTTAAAAAACCAATAATTAATTTTATACACATTCCCACCAATTGTTAGAAAAGTAGGCTGATATCAAGAGGGGGTGAATTGATCTTTGAAAGATTTTCGCAATTTACAGATTCTCTATTTCAAATATTAAGAGTTTTGACCAATTATTGAATCAAGAAAATCAAACTATTCAAAGTAAGACAGCGACAGAATTAAAAAAAGTAAGGTTTAGAGAAATACAATCAAGATTTATACTGGTTCACCCAATCTCAGGGCTACGTCCAGTTCTCAACTAAATTCCACTGAGTTCCACTAGATTGAATGTTTTACAGATTACAGATTCCAATCACACAACCAATCTACCACAAGACCCAAATTCCAGATCTTGCACCTAAATCTTCACCAAGAACCAAATTCCAGTTCTTGAACCAACCTGCAGCCAAATTCCACCTACAGAACTAGTGCCCAATAATTCCAGACACGCACCATCCAAGAACCAAGTTCCAATTCTTGTACCAACCTGCAGCCAAATTCCAGCTACAGAACCAGTGCCCAACAATTCCAGACACTCACCACCCAAGAACCAAGTTCTAGTTCTTGTACCAACCGGCAGCCAAATTCCAGCTACAGAACCAGTGCCCAACAATTCCATACACTCACCACCCAACACTAGTGCAAAAAGGGGCTGTTACGTCAGGTATTTAGGGCTTTTTACGTCGTATTTAAAACTGACGTTAAAACGGGAGACGTAAATTTACGTCGGACCCTTTAGCCCGACGTAAATTTACGTCAGTTATCAAGACCCGACGTAATTTTACGTTGTATATACCACTAAACAGACGTAAAAACTTTCAGAAATAAAAAAAAAACAGCAAATTTACGTCGCATATGGTATATGTGACGTAAATTTACGTCGCATATACCAATACGCAACGTAAATTTACGTCGCGTATTGGTATATGCGACGTAAATTTGCTGTTTTTTTTTTAATTGGGTTGATTCTGTTTTACAACTAAAACCTGCAAATATATATTACAACCAGACAGTTCAGATGTTCAATTTTCTTTAACTAGTAAATTAAAAATATAATATTATATAATTCAAACTACATAATAAAACAATATAATACAAACATACAAACAAAAAAATCTATTACAAACTAAAAGTTAATACAAATTAAGCTACCTAAACTACATAATACACACAATATAATATGAACAAGAACTTAAAAAATTATGTACTAGAATTGTTGAACGAAAAACCTTGCCCATTATTCTCTAATTTGTGTGATATCATATTCGGCAATGGAGATGGATCTTGAAATACCCGAAACATTAATTTGACTCTTGTAAACATGCAACACACATAAAGTTAAATAAACTTAACTAATGCTGAAAACAATTACCTCCAGTCCAAGAATCAGTTATACCGCACAAACTATGACTCTCATCCAATACATAACATAGTAACCACATTCAAATGAGTCTGTTTGCTTATTACACTTGAAATGATGAATAAAATATAATGTTATTTTCAAAATTTAAATACAAACAATAATTATGGTATTCACTTATTATAATAAGTTTCTAATCTTAGGATAAATGAAGCTGCAAAGTCTTTGTTACGGGTTTTTCACTTAGAACATTAATTATAGACACGATTCTAAATGAAAAAAAGCCATATATTATTCAATACCTTTTCCATTTTCACTACCAAATTTCAAAAATTTATCAACTCCCTTTTCGTACTCTTCACTAATACGACGTTCATTCATCCAACTTCGATTCATATTATGTTATAAAGTTTCGTCACTCCTAGAGATTCAAAATTTATATTTAAAAATAAATTAATATACAAATAATAAAGCACGTATATGGAGTGTGTAAACCGAAAATGCACTCAAACAAAATAATGACATTCCAATAACAATCCAGTGGAGACATTCATACAATGACGTGATTGAGATCCCCAAAAACAATCACGGATTCAATTTGAACATATATCAGGAGACATAGAACACTAACCTCGAGTAAACACGAAAACGATTTCAAACTCGAATCCAATCGGGGAGAAATGTCAAATTCGTAAAATGAGACACAATGTTGATGTTCTTCACTGCCAAAATGATCAAAAATGGTGTGGAAAGGTAGCTATCGTTGTCGTTCTCATTGTCGTTCTAAAAAACCCTTGCGGCGCGAGATGCGAAGTGGGTATGGAAGAGAATAAAAAGAACTTTTTACGTCGCACACCCTAGTACGTGACGTAAAAAGCCTCTTTTACGTTGCGTGGGGGGTGCGCGACGTAAAAAGTGATACTTTTTACGTCACATGGGGGGTGCGCGACGTAAAAAGTGCTTTTTACGTCACATGGGGGTGCGCGATGTAAAAAGTGCTTTTTACGTCGCGTACCCCCATGTGACGTAAAAAGTGATATTTTTTACGTCGTGCACCCCCCATGTGACGTAAAAAGTGATACTTTTTACGTCACGCACCCCCCACGTGACTTAAAAAGCTCTCTTTTACGTCACGTTGTACTGAGTGCGACGTAAAAGAGGTTTTTAATGTCACCTCCTACAATATGCGACGTAA